TTATCCTGGGTTAAGAAACGTTCATGGAAACCGGATGACTCAAATAATATCAGATTTTACCCTAATGTGCGTTTTTTGATCTGGTGACAGAATACGTGGCACTCTTCGTCATGCCAAGTCTTATGAGGAATTGAAGTGGGCCTCATATTAGATTCTCACGTGGTGGATGCAGACGATGTAAAAAACAAAGAATAGAAAGCGACTGACTTCTAATTCATACAAGTTGTATTAAACAATATTACAAATATGTCCTTGTAATGTTAATGGTGTCTGCGACCAAACTAATCTGCTGAAGAAGAGTCATTTTTTTCTCCATCTACGGACTCTATTGTGATAACGGTGTAGAGATGGCTGGTTCTGCAAGTGTTTATTTCGTAGGCCTTACAAAGAGTGAGTGTTCTTCACGAAGAGGTACAAAAGCGCACCAATCAGCAACTGTTAGCTGATTGGCTAACTTTAAACTGCCAAGGGCAGATAATCTCTCTCCTATTTCTCATGATATGTAATAAACTTTTTTTAAAATATTTTTTGGATGGTAAATAGTGAACATATTTTGCTATAACAGACAGTTTATGGTTAGCAAAGGGTTGATTTTTTTTTGATTTGTGGCTTAGGCAAAAATTCCCAGGTAAATTACGTACAATTAAAAAAATTTTATGGCTTCGCAATAGGTCATTTTAATACGCTAGAATAGGTTTTATTTTTGAACTTGTAGAATGTAAAGTTTTTTTCATTCTTAATTCTTAATAATTACGATAAAAATGGCTGCTATAATTTGACCGGACCTTTTTCAACTGTCATCTGAAAATATTATGGGGAATTGAAGTGGGCCCCATATATGATCCACGTTATGCAGACGTTATAATAGATAAAGAATAGAACGCAATTGACCTCTGATTTGTACAAGCTGTATTAAACAATATTACAAATAAATCCCTGCAAATTTAATAGTTTCTGCAACCAAACTTATCTGCTTAAGAAGAATCGATGTTTTCGCCATTTACGGACTCTGTAGTGATAACAGTGTAAAGCTGGCTGATTCTGCAAATGTTCGTTTCGTAGGACTTACCACTAGCGAGTGTTCTTCAAAAAGAGGTAAAAAAGCGGAACAATCAGCAACTGTAAGCTGCCTGGCTAACTTTAAACTGCCAAGGGCAGGTAACCATATCTCTTTTTTCTCATAGTCCATAGCGCAAAATATTCTCAACACTTTCACGTGATATGCTAATAGAATTATCTATTTCGTTTATAGTCAATCTCTTGTCATCTATCACCATGTGGAAGTTACAGGAAGTTCAGCACCTTGGGCCTTGTTCAAGACTCTCCCTTCACTTCCTAAATTCAGCATTTGTGCTGTTTATAAACCTGGAACCTCACCCCCTAATGTAGCGCCAATATAACCATGAATATCCTTGAAAGGTAAACCCAGCCCAAGAGCAGTCGCTACTACACCCTTGTGGAAATTAATTAAAATAACTGCTTTAGTTTCCTTCCTTTCACCATAAGCTCAGTTTTAGACCCACTGGAGTGACAGACTGTAATCGATTTCTATTTTTTCCTCAGATTAGGTCATTTGCAGTGGTGTAGAGTAATATGAATCTATTTTCTGGGTGTATGATGAAATTTGTTTGGCCTCGAAAAATATTGCGTCATCTGTGATTGCATCATATTTTTATCACCCCCTGACACTATTGTCTCGACTGTCGATTAGTTGTCCTACGGATATTGTCTGTGATAGACGTTACTCCAAGGAAGCGTACAAAAATTGTAACGCTACACGAATACACTGGCAAGCTTTACCAGTGAGTAAATCAAGGTACTGTAGGCTGGCCTGGAAATTCTTTTGATTTAAATCCAATCTGCAAGGAACGTCCTCGTGGAATGGACATACAAAGTACTAACATGTGCACTGGGTCATGTTTCATTGGGAAAATATGAAAAAAAGAGTAAATAATAACGGAATTATACGTCTTGTTTCATTTAATTTGCACAAGGCTTTAGTTAATTTGGAAGTGATCTTTGAACAGACAGATATCACTTTACCTAAAAAAATAATGCATTTGGTAATAAAAAGGGTCGAAACTAATGCATGCAAGATTTCAAAGCTGTAGCAACCCCCCATCTTAGTCAGCCTACGAACTTTTCAGCCGACTCTCGTAGTTTAATCAATGTTTTCCTGTTTTTCTTCCTTTCATTATATCCTTTTAGTGTTAAATTCTCTAGGACTTCTTTCCTCGTATTATTATCCTTAAGACTTCATCATTGGACACATGTTCTGGCCATGTTATTATCAACATTTGTCGGTAAAACCACATCTTCGTCTCTTTACGTCTCTTCTTATCACTATTTGTACTTTATCTTGCTCGACCCGTATTAACAGAGAAGGAGATGGAGAGATAGTGAGAAAGAAAGAAACTGAGAAAGATAGAATTACAGAAATAATTAAAAACATACAATAGGCACACAGATGGAAAGAAAGAAAGAAAGAAAGAAAGAAAGAAAGAAAGAAAGAAAGAAAGAAGGAAAAGGGAAGGAAGAAAGAAAGAAAGCAAGCAAGCAAGGAAGACAGTGGGAAAGAGAAAGAGAATGAGACGTAGAAAGAAAGAAAGAAAGAAAGACAGTGGGAAAGAGAAAAAGAAATAGACATAGAAAGAAAGAAAGAAAGAAAGAAAGAAAGAAAGAAAGAAAGAAAGAAAAGGGAAGAAAGAAAGAAAGAAAGCAAGAAAGACAGTGGGAAAAAGAATAAGAAATAGACATAGAAATAAATAAATAAATAAAGAAAGAAAGAAAGAAAGAAACAGTCAAAAGCAGCGAAAAAGAAAGAAAAATGAAAGCCGTACAGCTGGAAAGACATAAGGAATGACAGACAAACGTACAAAGAAAGAAAGAAAGAAAGAAAGAAAGAAAGAAAGAAAGAAAGAAAGAAAGAAAGGCAAACAGACAAAGCCAGCAATAAAAAAGAAAGAAAACAGTGAAAAAGATAGAAAGAAAGACGGGAAGAGAAACAATCAGAAAAAGAAAGGCTGAGAAACAGTCAGACATAGAACGAAAGAAAGAAAGAAAGAAAGAAAGAAAGAAAGAAGGAAAAAGAAAGACAGACAGACAGACATACAGATAAAGACGGCAAGAAAAAAAAGAAAGAATTATTTTCACAGAAAAAGCCATTACATAACTGATATGTCAGTTATCACTTACAACAGTCCGCAGTAAATAAATAAGAGAGAAAAGTCATTGACATGGGGACAGGATAAATTACTGATGAAAACAAAAGTGACTTATATCAATGGAAAACGGTAAGGCACGTTATCCTCCATTGAAAGTAAATTTGAATTTATAAATATTTATAACAATTTCAGGTAGCAAATGTACGAACTGATCAGAAGAAATGCAGTAACAGTAAAGAAATAGACAGAATCTTGGACGACACTTTGGCAATTAATTTGTCTTCAGTTTAAGAAAGGTTAAACCTGGAAGACCAAATGAATGACATCGCTTTTCCTGTCACACTAAATTAGCGGTAAACAATTACTTGATAAACATGGCCATCTGTCAATCTTGGCTAAGCGAAAGGCATAGTAATCATTAATGACACCCATACACTTTTCTTAACGGACGTATTAGCTGCTTTGAAAATAAAATATTTGATCGCTTGTCAATCCTTGTTGACTTGTATAATGTCGAATTCTGTCGGGGCAAATAGTGACGATATAACACGCTACGTAAGAATAATGGAAAGCCTTGACAAGCATTACCCTACGACAAGAAAACTAGGAATTATTTTATTATAAAAATGCATTGTAAACAGTCTTATAATAAAAAATATATTACGATTATAATTGTAAATATTTTACTATGAAATGCATTGCAAATGATTTTACTATGAAAATGCATTGCAAATGATTTTACTATGGAAAAGCATTGCAAATGATTTTACTATGAAAATGCATTGCAAATGATTTTACTATGGAAATGCATTGCAAATGATTTTACTATGAAAATGCATTGCAAATGATTTTATTATGTAAAAGCATTGGAAAAGATTTTACTATGAAAATTTATTGCAAATGATTTTACTATGAAAATGCATCACAAATGATTTTACTATGAAAATGCATTGGAAATGATTTTACTATGAAAATGCATCACAAATGATTTTACTATGAAAATGCATTGCAAATGATTTTACTATGTAAATGCATTGCAAATGATTTTACTATGAAAATGCATTGCAAATGATTTTAATATGGAAATGCATTGGAAAAGATTTTACTATGAAAATGCATTGGAAATGATTTTACTAGGAAAATGCATTGCTAATTATTTTACTATGGAAATGCATTGGAAATGATTTTACTATGAAAATACATTGGAAATGATTTTACTATGAAAATGCATTGCAAATGATTTTACTATGAAAATGCATTGCTAATTATTTTACTATGTAAATGCATTGGAAAAGATTTTGCCATGAAAATGCATTTGAAATGATTTCAATATGAAAATGCATTTAGTATGATTTTACTATGAAAATGCGCTGAAAATTAGTTTAGGGGTTGTTGATTTTATTGACACTCAATTTTGTTTGGCTATTTAGCAGTCGGAATTTATGTGGTGCACACTGTGTGGTCCGTTGTCGTATTGGACAATGAAAATAACCTCGTTAATGAAAGCGCCTGTCAGAAATTTATATTGTATGTGTATGTATGTGTGTGTGTATGTATGTGATGGGCGTATCCATATAATATCTCTCTTGAAATCGTAATGTTTCTGTTCAAATATTTAAAGTGAATTATACAAATAAACAATCACATATACAGCTAGAAATATATATATATATATATATATATATATAGAGAGAGAGAGAGAGAGATAGAGAGAGAGTAGGAGAAGGTGGAAAAGAGTGGGGGGAAAGAAAGTGGAAGGGAAATAGGGAGGAAGATTTATCGATTTTGAAAAGGCCTTGAGTTTTAAACGTTTTTCTTCCTTTTGGAATCTTAATATTACGAGAAAGAAACTGAGAAAGATGCAATTACAGAAATAATTAAAAACATACAATAGGCAAACAGATGGGCAGGCAGGCAGAAAAAAAGAAAGAAAGAAAGAAAGAAAGAACAAATGAACGAAAGAAAGAAAAGAGAGAAGGCGACAAAGAAAGGAAAAAAGAAAGAAGATAAGAAAGAAAGAAAGAAAGAAAGAAAGAATGAAAGAAAGAATGAAAAAAGAAAGAAAGAAAAAGACATGAAAGAAGAAACTAAGAAAAATATAAGAAGGAAAGAAAAAAAGCCAAAAAATAAAGAAAGAAAAACCTCAGAAAAGAAACAGAATGATAAAAACCGAAAAAGACTTTTACTATGGAAATGCATTGCAAATTATTTTACTATGTAAATGCATTGGAAAAGATTTTACCATGAAAAAGAAAAAGACAAGAAAGAAAAAAAATAGACAATAAAGAAAGTATAAAGAAGAAAGAAAGGAAATGAACACACACACACACACACACACACACACACAGAGATATCTCTCTCTCTCTCTCTATATATATATATATAAATCTTACTTATTATAAAACACAGATTGTGTGTGTGTGTGTGTGTGTGTGTGTGTGTACGTTTATATATTGTATCGGATTTCCTACATTTTTCAACCGATTTCAACAAAACTTCACAGGATTACGTAAAATTACCTTGCGGTGGTTCCGACAGCGCCAAAAATTGGAAAGACACAATTGTTTTTGCACGAAATCAATTTGAAAACACGATAAAACACGATTCTGTCGCCAAAATGAAAGGGGGGACAACTCATATCGAGTTATCCTTATTATAAAACCCAGGTTGTTTGTGTGTGTGTGTGTGTGTTCGTTTATATATGGGATCGGGTTTCCTACATTTTTCAACCGATTTCAACAAAACTTCACTTTTTTTTGGCAGGTAGTGTTTCTTATTGTCTTGTATACTTTTTTCTTTATTTTTACATTCAGAATGCTTAAAAAAATTCCATTTACAAGATAATTGTTTATAATAAAATTCTATTCAATCGATAGACTCATAACGATTGAAAACAATGTTTTTGTTTGAGTTTGGGTTTGACCAATTTGTCAAAAACAATACTTGATCTATCTCTTACTGTTACATCCCCGGGCAACGCCGGGCTCTACTGCTAGTATATATATATATATATATATATATATATATATATATATATATATATATACCAGCACCACATCGGTATAGTGTTCGACTTCGTTCGTTCGTTCGTTCGTTCGTTCCTTCCTTCCTTCCTTCCTTCCTAGAAACTATGATTTCTTTTCCTTTCATTCTTCCGTTGTCTCTTTCTTTCTTTCTTTCTTTCTTTCTTTCTTTCTTTCTTTCTTTCTCGCTTAATAATGTATCGGCGCAATCGTCAAGCATGACGATTGCGATTAGCATGAAAGAGACTGTCGCCTATGGGCGTTGACTTCTCTGTCAACTTTTTATATTTACATACGCTCTATCCCTGATATTGAGTACTTTAACCCATAAATATAACATACCTTTAAACTATATTTTATCATATTCATATATATATATATATATATATATATATATATGTGTGTGTGTGTGTATATATATATATATATATATATATATATATATATATATATATATATAGAGAGAGAGAGAGAGAGATAGATAGATAGATAGATAGATAGATAGATTAGAGAGCGAAAGTGACAAGTAAGAAAAGAGACAGAAAGTTAGAAAAAAGAGAGAGGAAAAGTAGAAGAAAGCAGATGAATAATGAATAAAGAGAGGGGAATGAGCGAGAGACCAATGGCAGTAGAGAAGGAGAGAAAAGGAAAGACAAGACGTGAGAGAAGACAGGGGAGGTATATTGAAAGAGAAGGCTAAAGAGGACAATATGAAATCAGATAAAGAAAGGGAAGAGAAAGAATGGAAGCAAGAAGGAAACAGTACGATAAGGAGAGAGAAGGGAAGAAGGAGAATGAAATAGAGTAATAAAAAGCGAAAAGAATAAGAAATGAATAAAAAGACAGACTAAAATATTCACTAAAGAAAAAATGGAAAGAAAGAAATATTGCTGACTCAATGAGAAAAGAAACAAAGAAAGAAGGAAAGAAAAAAAGAGGAAATAGGAGGAGAGGAAGGAATGAAGGTGGAATAGAGAGAAAAAATTAAAAGAAAGAAAGAAAACGGACAAAAAAGAAGGAGGGTGAAGCAGAGAGGAAGTATTCAAAGAAGGAAAGGATGAACGAACGAACGAAAGCGAAATTAAAAGAAGGAAAGAAAGCAAAAAGTGAGGAAGAAAGGAAGGAAGGCGAAAGAAAATTAATGAATAAAAAAGAAAGAACGAAAGAAAAAACAATTTATGAAGAAAGAAAATTGAAAGGAAGGAAGGAAGAAAGAAAGGAAGGCGAAATGAAAAGACAAAACAGGAATAATGAAAATGAGCGAGGAAGGAAGAAAGGGAGGAAAGAAGAAAAGAAAGAAGGAGGACAGAAAGGAAAGCAGGAAGGAAAGAAGGAAGGAAGGAAAAAAAGAAAGAAGGAAGGAAAGAAAGAAGGAAATAAGGAAGACAGGAAGGAAAGCAAGAAGGAAAGAAGGAAGGAAGAAAGGAAGGAAAGAAGGAAAGAAGGAAGGGAGGAAGAAAGGCAGGAAGGAAGGAAGAAAGGAAGGAAAGAAGGAAGGGAGGAAGGAAAGAAGGAAGGAAGGAAGAAAGAAAGGAAAGAAGGAAAGAAAGACGATAAGAAAGAAGGGAGACAGGAAGGAAAGCAGGAAGGAAGGAAGGAAAGAAGAAAGGAAAGAAAGAAAGAAGGAAGGAAGGGAGGAAGGAAAGAAGGAAGAAAGGAAGGAAAGAAGGAAAGAAGGAAGGGAGGAAGAAAGGCAGGAAGGAAGGAAGAAAGGAAGGAAAGAAGGTAAGAAGGAAGGGAGGAAGGAAAGCAGGAAGGAAGGAAGAAAGGAAGGAAAGAAGGAAAGAAAGAAGGGAGGAAGGAAAGAAGGAAGGAAGGAAGAAAGAAAGAAAAGAAAGATGGAAAGAAAGAAGGGAGACAGGAAGGAAAGTAGGAAGGAAGGAAGGAAAGAAGAAAGGAAAGAAGAAGGAAAGAAGGAAGGGAGGAAGGAAAGCAGGAAGGAAGGAAGGAAGGAAAGAAGAAAGGAAAGAAAGAAAGACGGAAAGAAAAAAGGGAGACAGGAAGGAAAGCAGGAAGGAAGGAAGGAAGGAAAGAAGAAAGGAAAGAAAGAAGGAAAGAAGGAAGGGAGGAAGGAAAGCAGGAAGGAAGGAAGGAAGGAAGGAAAGAAGGAAAGAAGGAAGGGAGGAAGAAAGGCAGGAAGGAAGGAAGAAAGGAAGGAAAGAAAGAAGGAAAGACGGAAAGAAAAAGGGAGACAGGAAGGAAAGTAGGAAGGAAGGAGGTAAGAAGGGAGGGAGGAAGGAATGAAAGAAAGACGGAAAGAAGGAAGGGAGGAAGGAAAGCAGCAAGGAAGGAAGAAAGGAAAGAAAGAATGAAAGAAGGAAAGAAAGACGGAAGAGAAGAAGGAAAGCAGGAAGGAAGAAAGGAAGGAAAGAAGGTAGAGAGGAAAGTAGGAAGGAAAAAAGGAAAGAAAGAAGGAAAGAAGGAAATAAAGAAGGAAGAGAGGAAGGAATCTGCAAGGAAGAAAGGATGGAAAGAAAGAATGAAGAAACGAAGAAATAAAGAAGTAAAGAAAGAAAGATACCAAGAAGAAAAGAAGAAAGTATGGAAGGAAAAAAGGAAAAAAAATGAGCTTAAAGAAGCAAGGAAAGAAATATCAGTAATACAAATAAACAGCGTGCCTTGATAAAATAAATCTAAAAAAAATAAGTAATGGAAATCATAAAGTGATGCTTCCATTTTCCTGATTGCCCAAGGAATTCATTTTACACATTTAATGACTTCTTACTTTAAAAATTAGAAAAGGCAAAATAACAAAGAACCGCTGTGAGATGACGATCTGCGCTACTGTTACTACAACTACGCCTACTACCCTGTCGAGATTCATTCTCTGAATTTTTCTTTACGCCCGTCAGAAACGATGTCGCTATTCATATTTGAATGTTGCTTGTAATAGACAATAAAATTTTCTCATTGTTTTAGGTAATTTTTATTTTCCTTATTATCGATTTGAGTTATATGTCCTTTTTTTTAATTAGCAAAACGCTTCCATCGACAGCATTGTCTCATATAAGTTATTGAAGAAAAATATTCGAGTTTCCGATTAGATTCAAGTGTGAGGAGTTCACTCAATTAAATGAATTTTAATTACAAAATATTACAGGGTTGAAAAAATAGTTTTGTCTTGAAATTGGTCAAATTAGTTGTGTTCTCAAATTAGTAATGTTCTTGAGAGTAGTGCTTGGAGAATTGAGTAAATGAGTAAAAAAAGCATGTTAGAAGAAAGCGTTTGCAATGTTGATATTAATTTGGAGTAAAGTAGTCTTTTACTTAGGTGTAGCAACAGGAGGCATTACCTCAGTTAACAAACTGTAGGGTTACATCCTCCTAATTTTCGAAACTATTCCTAGTGACGCTCTCTGGACTATAAATATTTACTATAATTTTTCATCACTCACTTCTCACTTTTTCCGCTTTCATGGCAACATGTAAGTCTCTCGCGGAAAAACGCGCTTCCCTTTTGGGAAACGCATGAACAATATATATAAATACACACACACACGCACACACATACACATACGTACGCACATTCATCACTACAAATATTTTGCACCCAAAAAGTTCTCACATTCATTTGATACACACATCTTTGTCCTTGTCACTTGCAACACTTTGTTATTAATACACCATCATTTGTTTGAACATATATAGTGGTTCTTGTCGTTTTCTTACATTTATTTACGTGGACTCACATTCCGAGTCTGCCATGTTTGTTGTGGGTATTTCAGGAGACACATGAGTTTATCTCTCAACGCATAAACAGGCCCGAAAAAAAAACCTCCGTTAGAGTAGCATGTATCTTTCCAAAATTGAAGGTTTACGACCGTATCGCGTTGAAACACCGGTTCTCGTCGATCACTGAAGTTAAGCAACGTCCAGTCTGGTCAGTACTTTGATGGATAACCGCTTGGGAATAACAAATGCTGTAACTTTCGATGTGCGGGTGGTGAAATAGATAATGACTCAGAATTGAAACCGGAGTGCTGAGTTCTAATTCCAGTCAGGTTAGATATTCATGTAGCGGGAAAAAACACAATTTACACATAGTACGAGTAACAAATTAAAGAAACATTTACACTGGCCACATGTAGAAAACATGTACGGTGGGGTAATGGTTAGCGGTTCTAATTGAGGAATCAGAGAGCCGAGTTCAAATTCCAGTCGAATCCATTACATTCACTTACGTGCTAATACTCTTGGGAAAGGTATTAATCCTTTTTTTTCTCCCCCCAGCTATGGGTAAATAGCAGAACAAACCGGGTTCTATAGCCTTGGATGGCAACTGGTCTACCGTAGAAAGAAATGACAACCTACTGCGGGAAAAATCTGCCTCGTCAGTCATGTATCAAAATATACATGATTGCCTAAGCGAGATTCACACATGGCACTTATTTTACTCTAGTTAAGTTACACACACGCCGCACTTTACTAAAAAAAGAATTTTAAAAGAAACATATATATCTGTCTATACTTCTGTGCCATGTATCCTTAGTGGATAAAACCGTTGGTTAGATCCAGTGACAGTGTGAGTTCAATACCTGGTTAAGGCAGTGGAGAACTTGGAGAGATGAATTAACAGGAGATAACTGATAACTGCTATCCATTAGACATGCCACCTGGAACTAGAACAGTCTACCCCAGCGAGCGAAATAAAGGGTTCATTTCGATATTCCATCCACCTGAAGAAGGCCGAAATGTTGTGATAAATATGGCAACAAAGATGAAGACAACAGTCCGAAAAATGTAAATAGTAAACACAAATACATCACACTGGTAGCCATTATTGAGGTGAATCTCATTTGCCACAAATGCTTTCAACTACGTCCGTGTTTTTCCCTTATATAGGCTATAAGAACCCACACCAACAGAAAGCAGAGAGAGGCTTCACTCACGTACGCACGCATGCCTTACTGCGCTTTGGGCCATTAGGCTTTGTAAACGACCCTCTTGTAAACAGTAAATGAACGGACTCTATCAGAAAGCACAAAGCGATAACTATCAAGCAGTCCGCTGGGGTTAAGCGTACTCCTTTCTCACGCTCTCACTTTATACCTAATACACCGCAAATTCACCCCGCTACAGTATACCACTTACCAGTGACATTTTTATCACTATGTATATAAAATTAAATTTTTGGTCATTTATCTAAACAAGTATCCGAGTTTGTTTCTTCTACTCCAATCAACGTCCAACACTGAAATCAATATTCGCTTATGCGCAAATCAATATTCTCTTTTGCGGAAATACTCTTGGGAAAGGTATGCATCTCCCTCTTCTCTTACCTCCCCGCAATATGGGTTAATTAGTATCACTTGTATCAGTAGATCATTATTATCATTAAAATTATCTAAAAATATTTTCTGGCTTTAAATAACAGACAAAGGGTTGATGAGTCGTAAAAAATATATATCACTCAATCAAAACTGTCAAAGATTGTCACTGCTTTAAGTTAAAAGATAGAAGCGGTTTTCACAAGAAGGATTATTTAGTGTAGAAATCAGTTAGAACCAGGAAAGCATTTGTTTTTGTTTTTTGGTGTGAGGTGCAACAAAAATAGAATATTAATAAAAAACAGTTGAAATGATAGAATGAAGGAAGAAAAGAAGGAAGGAGGGAGGGAAGGAAAGAAGGAAGGAAGGAAGGAAATAAGGAAGGAAAGAAGGAAGATAGGAAGGAAAGAAGAACGAAAGAAGGAAGGAATGAAGGAGGGAGGGAAGGAAAGGAGGAAGGAAAGAAGGAAAGAAGGAAGGAAAAAAGAAAAAAGGAAGGAAAGAAGAAGGAAAGATGGAAGGAAAGAAGGAAAGAAGGAAGGAAATAAGGAAGGAAATAAGAAAGATAGGAAAGAAAGAAGAACGAAAGAAGGAAGAAAAGAAGGAATGAGGGAAGGAAGGAAAGAAGGAAAGAAAGAAAAAAGGAAGGAAGGAAAGAATGAAAAAAGGAAGGAAGGAAATAAGGAAGAGAGGAAGGAAATAAGGGAGGAAAGAAGGGAGGAAGGAAAGAAGGAAGGAAGGAAATAAGGAAGAGAGGAAGCAAAGAAGAAGGAAAGAGGGAAGGAAATAAGGAAGGAAATAAGAAGGAAAGAAGGAAGATAGGAAAGAAAGAGGAACGAAAGAAGGAAGAAACGGATGGAAGGAAAGAAAGAAGGAAGGAAATAAGGAAGGAAAGAAAGAAGGAAGAAAAGAAAGAAAAAAGAAGGAAAGAATAAGGAAAGAAGGAAGGAAATAAGGAAGGAAATAAGAAGGAAAGAAGGAAGATAGGAAAGAAAGAGGAACGAAAGAAGGAAGAAACGGATGGAAGGAAAGAAAGAAGGAAGGAAATAAGGAAGGAAAGAAGGAAGGAAGAAAAGAAAGAAAAAAGAAGGAAAGAATAAGGAAAGAAGGAAGGAAATAAGGAAGGAAATAAGAAGGAAAGAAGGAAGATAGGAAGGAAAGAAGAACGAAAGAAGGAAGAAAAGAAGGAAGGAGGGAAGGAAAGAAAGAAGGAAAGAAGGAAAGAAAGAAAAAAGGAAATAAGGAAGAGAGGAAGGAAATAAGGGAGGAAAGAAGGGAGGAAGGAAGGAAGGAAATAAGGAAGGGAGGAAGGAAAGAAGAAATAAATAAAAGAGTAATCTATATCTTAATAGTGAACTCTCCCGTCGTATTCGACGTATGAGGATCAAGCAGGTCAGTTCCTAGGAACCGATAGCCCAGACACCAGCACATATGATTTGATTATAATGTAGAAGGCTTTGTGCAGGACCATCCACACTTTTTGAAGGGCCGAATACAGAGACCTGGTGAACTACGAGCCACAAGGTCCTCAAACGACCCCCAGCAGGTTTTGAATTCAGAGTTGTCCTTCTCCTAGACCAGTTGCCATCCAAGGCTATAGAACCCAATCTGTCCTGATATTTACACATAGCTAGAGCGAGAAGATTCGACTGGAATTCGAACTCGGCTCTCCGATTCCTCAGTCCGAGCCACTATCCACTAGTTGTACTTATGTATGGCGTGTATAACTCTTGGTATCACAGTTACTGAGAAGGAAGACAGAAATAGAAGGAGAGACAGAGAGTAAAGCAGAGTGTGAGAGGGGCAGTTAGAGATATAGAAAGAGAGTGAGACACAGAGAGGGGATTGGGGGCAGTTATCTTCGATAAAGGCTGTTGTAGTGAGGGGTTAAATCATATTTCGGGACTTGAAGATGTGTTGAGGACAAATAAGCCGCTGAACTGCAAGTGACCTTTTAGAATTAAAATCTTTCTTTTTGTTCAAATCTTATTTTAGCGAATAGTGAGAGAGAGGTAGAGAGACAAAAAGAAAGTACTACACAGAGAGAGTTTTAGAATCTTCGAAATTTTGGTTTAAAATCTTGTTTTTATGACGAAAACGAAAGGACCATAAATTTGTACAGGGAATTTGAGAGTCTTTTTACGATGAAAAACATTATTTGGAAATTTTTGCACAAATCAGATAATTCTCAGATTTTAATGAAATTTTTAGGGTGTATTTACAAATGGATGAAATTATTTTTGAAATTTTTCTTTTAATTAGAAATCCTTGGTATTTTTTTTTTATATATTTCTTACCTCCCAACCCCAACACGTTTAATTTGAAGAAATTTCGAAAAATACTTTTTTTGTAGAGCTTAATTTTTATATTAGTTTCAACGGCAAATCCTCGGATAATTTAAATCATCAAATTTATTTTGATTAAATAGGACCGCTAGAAACTGCGCTGAAACACAAGATTCAATAAAACTAATAAATTATCTAATTAGAAAAGCTTTTAATTGTTTTTATGAATAAAATATATTATGGATACTATGGATTCTTACGAAAAAAAGATTCGTTGATTAATGCATTTTTATAAAAAATTCTTCATTTTTTAAAAAATTTTAAATCGAATAATTTATACTTTTAAATCTTTTAAAATTCTGTATTAATTTGCAGCGAGCAAGTGCTATTGTTATTCAATAAAACTATTATTAATAATCATAAATTGAAAAGCTTGCTGCAATTCAGCGAACCCCAGGATTTTAAAAAAGAATTTTCACTTATTCTGTGTGTGTATTAACGTGATGAGGTTTGTAAATACGGATGTCGATACAAGATATAATCAGAAAATAAGAGCGGTAACTATAGTAAATTTTAAAATTATTGGTAATATTGTAACATTTCTTCGACAAGAGTTTTAGGAAGTAAGCCAAAGTATCTAAAAAGTACCTAAATAAAATAGTAGAATGCTTAAAATATTTTTAAATGAAAAAATCTTGTGCTGTCCTTTTTGTTAATGACCAAACATCGTGTATTATAAATTATGATTGACTAATTTCTTTTTTTTTGTACTCGGTCGTTGACATTAGGTTGTTCCATATATTCGTTCGTTTTTTTTTTTTCAGACCTTCTGTGAATGATCTCTCGTGGCATTTTTCTTTCTTAGAACATTATTTTATTTCAGACCAGCAGCCATACCCAGCTGGTCGATTAGAAAAAGCGTTCAATTAGAATGGAGCAAAAACAGCATCATGTTAAGATGAAACAAGAGTCTATCTTCTTCAATTACTTTAAAGTACTTTCATTAAAAAAAACCTATTGAATTAATGCAGTTACTGATATAACAGAAGTAGTCTGCATTTATTTAATCGAAGTTAGCGGAGTACACGAACGGGTAAAACAGGCAACATGAAGACTCACTTCAGACCACAATTATTTTGGAGCTTTTGAAATTCAATTTATCAATGTGTTACCAGGGATGTAAAAGAGGATACATTTATAAAGCAATTGCTAAATTAGATGAAAATTGGTTGAATGATCAACGCAAAATAAGAAAGAAACCAGTAAAAATAGCTGGTTTTCACTACATTGGTGGACTCAGTTATCAAGTTGAATGACTGCTAACCAATCAACTTATTGTTGGCTACAATTGAGTGAACTTTGTATTAGATTGCTTGAAAATTGAGGGAGTTTTTAGTTTAAAATATGTGTTGAAATTGATTTGTGTTGAAATCAATTTTTCATTTTTCGTAGTTTTTTGCTAAACCCAGAGGCGTTGAAATAAAAACGAGATATTGTTGAGCTCGTCATAATGTAAGTAACCTACATACCGAGCTTGAAGGAAATCGGTGGAAAAAGTTGAATTTATTGATTTTTGATTGGCTTTATAGGTTATTAATTTTCAAAAGATTATCGATATTTTATGCTCATAACTTTTCTCTTACATTGTACAATCTTTGTGTCAAGTTTGATCAAAATCGGTTGGATGGATCTCGTGTGAAAAGCTATCACACAGATACACAGACATCCTCTGTTTTATATATAGAGATTCGACATTAGACACCCCTTAGACAAAAATGACATTTTAATCAAGGTCACAAAGCTTCCAAAGCTGCTCGAGACATCTGCGTTGTGTAAGGCGATGAAATGTTTCAAAACAACCAAACTGTCAATGCTAGGCTGTATGGTGAAGAAAAGAACAGAGGCCCAAAGAAGCAATTCAGCTAAAACGACCTGGCCGGTAATACAATGTGATTATTCAACATGACAATGATCGATCCCCCCATCTGGCTAAACATGCTCTAACGGAAGGAGCTATCGAAGAAATATTTATTACCCGCTTTGAATTTCCCCCATTATGGTCATTATTATATCTGTTATATAATAACAGCGATATTTCACGGACGCAACGGAATGGCTGAAAGTAAAAGAAATGGTAAACATGCTTTGTTCTCACACACAAAACTATATATACACATATACATGTGCCTCACGCAGAGAGCAGTATATCACATATATCTACACGCAAAGCAGAGTGTAAGGAGAAACAAAAAGAAGAGTTTTACATATAATATGGAGATACTCCTGTACCTGGAGAAGCCAGATTTTTCAATGTCATCAAGTGAGAGCATATTCTACGAACTGGAAACACCAGGCATTGGGTATTCCCAAATAGAGGGCTGCGAGCTGGAATTTCATTCTATAACTGTGAAATATATATTCTCAAAGGGAAATGGCACCAAGGACTTGTAGACTGATGGGGAGGTAGATTTAGCCTCAGTCTGGGCCCCTTAGCTGTTGTTAAAAGACTCTAACATGATGTGGTAGCCACTGTGAACAAACTAACTGACTATCGCTTTCGTCACTGTATGGGGAGACTTATCTCCACCAAAGGGAGATAATCGCCTTATGTATTGCTACAGTGCAATTAAACAGTTCACTTGGGAAGTTCTGCCACATCCATCATATTATTTTGTGTTAGCTCCTTCAGACTATCACCTTTTTCGGTCGTTTCTAACAATTTGAGGGGTGTTTCGTTCAACAACGATGTTGAGCTTAAAACGTGGTTTGGTGAATTTCTCAATCAAAACCTACTGATTTCTATTGTGGCATTGAACGATTTGTGGATCGTTGGCTGGAGGTCGTAATCAATGAAGGGGAATATGTTGTTGAATGATTAGGCAGAATATAAATATTACAATAAATGGTAAAAATGGATGAATTCATGTAACGGCCTAATAGATTTCCCAGTTTAGTTAGAATCGGTTGTATACGGGAAGAAATATTTTTATTGATCTTTTTAGATATGAGAACGCTGGTCCGCAGTATCTGGTTTTCTCTTCTTATTTTTGGGAGAATCTTGTAATGTCATATATTCCATCTTTTTCTTAATTCGGTATACGTTTATTTGTTGAACGTTTGTTTACATCAGTGGTTACCCAGATGTTATGATTACGCAAACAGATTCAATAAGTAAACATCTTGAATAAACGTGTGATCAACTAAACAGAACATTGATTAGAATTACTACGCTCGTAATCCATATCAACTCGGCATCATGAATTTTTCAAGCAGTCGTGTTGCCAAAAGCATAAAAAAATGTTTGCTTTTACAATCAAGTTAAAAAAAAATAACGGTTGAATATATATTTCATCTAAGAATATATTAATCTTTCCTTCCCAATCAAGGCGATAAAGCCACTGTGACGCAACAGTTACTGGTAGAAAAAACGGCAGTGAAGAGAAAAGATAAAAAAAGTACAAGGTTCAGGAAGAGGGAAGATGGTGATTGAGGTTGCATTTAAACTTCTGAAGATCGTAGGTTACAAGAAAAGAAGTTCCACAAGCGAGAAGTGCCAGTTGCCAATCTAGTACTACAGTTAAATTCATACAGTTGAGGTCTCAAGGAGGAAAGTTCATTAGAACAATTGGCATGAAAATATTTATAGAATAGACAGAAGGAAGTCACGTGACTGCGGTGGAGAAGTGACTGAAGTCGAGATGCCATGTCAGGGCCATTAACATTACAGACTCTGCTTTGGATTATATCGAGAATCTCGATATATATTGCATGGACAGCAGACCAGATATGGCAAGAATATCCGATGCACAGACGAATAATAGATCTATATGTTTCCCATGTTCATCACAGTCTATGAATATAGAATACAGCACAGTACGTAATCTGTTCAATGAAACAACGTTAAAGATTAACACTCACGAGTCAGACACTCTACTGAATCCGACTATATCGCCAATACCTCCAGCAGCTGTTCCATAATTCTTCAGTTTTCGATATCAAAGTCTGGCCGTGCATATTCGGAAAAAAAACATGGCCGCCTTTATACATGTGACATTCAACATTTTGAGCCCTCTGATTGGTTAACTCTTCTATTGGTGAACTATAAAATGAGTCAGCTCATTTTGGCTGGTTCACTAGTACACCAAGATACCCAAAAATTCTAACATTATATATGTGCAAGATATATTTTCTCGAGAAAACTTGTTGACCAACTATCCTAGCAGCAGATATAGCAACTGATTCAATTCACATCATGTCCGTGGAAAACGTGATGCCAAGAAGGCTCAATGAGTTTCTCATTCGGAGGTTAGTATCGACCATGCTACTGGAAGAAGTGCGAGAAAATAAACTATTGGAATAAAACTTACAGTTAAATCTAGCTATTTAAACCGTAAAATGGTGACACCTAATTGCCAATCTAGTAGTATACGCTTAAATTCATACAGTCGAGATATCAAGGAGAAAAGTTCATTAGAACAATTCACATGGAAGCCACGTGACAGCGGTAGAAAAGTGACTGGTATCGAGATGCCAGGTCAAGACCTATAACATTACAGAACTTTTTTTGGATTATATCGAGAAACTTGATAGATATACCATGGGCAGCAGACTAGATGTCAGGAATATCCAATGCACAGATAAATGGTAGATGCATAAATGTCCAAGATGGGTTTTCTCGATAAAAATTCTTGACCAAATGTCCTAACAGCAGGCCCAGCAAATGATTCAATATAACTAACCAAGAAGGCGTAATGAATGGCTCATTCAGAGGTTAGCATCAGCCATGCTGTTGGAAGGCAAAAAATGGTTCTCTATGATGATTAAAATATAGCAGTTTCGTTTTGGAGCCATTAAAATGTGCATACCATTTTTGTCCTAGTTAAAGCTCTGTGGTGCAACTGTATCAGTACAAAAGGATTTAGAATAGAGGCAATTCAGGATAAGTTTCATTTCGGTATTTGATAAAAAGGACTGAAGCAGTTCAACAATTCGTCCGAACACAACATAACTTGTAAAGAAAACCGATATGTCAAACCCTGTCGAACGCTTTCATAATGTTCAAACTTTCTGTTGGTTTTTATCGCAACCTTACGCGTGCCGTCAGTCTAGGGCAGCGAGAAAACAATGCTGATCGAAAATTATGAAGAATAAGTTCGTGATGATTGATCAAATTTAATTTATATATTAAATACTATGCCTATTTCTAATTCAATAATAATTATCACTCTAGCCTAAAACTGGAATCTTAGCGAAAATTCTGTTAAATTTGCTATACGTTAGCTAATATAATTTTACGTATATTAATTAAGAGTATTAGTTACTAACATTATTATATTATGTCACACATATACGCGCACAGGCACACACACACGCACACACACAGGCATACACACACACGCACGCATATATATATTATGAAATGGACTAAGTTCGACAATCTTAATATATTTATATTTATACGTTATTTATATAGATACAAATATTTAAGTAAATGCTCTGTTTATAATAAACAGTATTAACAATATTTACCGGCCAGAACGTCCGAGAAATTTTCATGGAAAATTTCGACAGAAATCGAAAGTGTATCTAAACTGATATAGCAAGTCAGGCTATATGACTATTCCGTGTAGGATAACGTTTCGATTCTTGTCAGGGGATGCATATTTCTATGAAATTTCTCGGACATTCAGGCCGGTAAATGTTTTTATTTATTCCGAGCCTTCGCATGTTGAGTATGACTGGACTTTTCGAGTATGTATCTTTGTATATTTAAATACTTTTAGTACGCCACTGCCATTGTTAAACAAGGTGAGGTTGGTAGTGCGGGAGAGATATTTGTTATACTGGGCCTCTCTTATATTGAGGTGTTTTTGGCAATTTGTTTTACATAGAATGTTAGGGTTCTCGACCAGAATCTTTCTTAAAGGTATTTGTAGATTTGGGGTTGATTGGCGTTTTTTATTGCACTTTGGCCTGATAAATGACATGTGATGCGTCTACTCAAGATATAGGTAATTGATTTATGACAAAAAACACAGTCTTGGACCGGGCAGTGAAATTGATACACTATATTGGTTATCGCTAGTTTAGATTTCATGGGGTTATTTGGATTAGCGACAAAAAAGACTGAGGTCTTCGATTTTACATGTTTTTCGAGAATTACAGCAGAAATATGGTGTTCAATGATTGTTCGTATACCGTAAAATATGTTGATGTTTTGTTGTGTGCTATTTTGTTTTTTACTGGTGTTGTGTATTTTTTGGAAGAATAATTTTATTTGTCTATCAAATTTGTAGTTGGGAAAATTATTTTTGACTAATGTTGTTTTATGTGTTTTAGTTCACCCGGAAATATTCTTGCTAGTAGCAGTGAACTACAGAAATGACTGTCTTGATGGAGAAAATGAACTTTTGTCTGTAGTTTTCATTTGTTGTTTTTTTTAATTTTTTTAACATGATATTTGGTCAGGACTTGTGTTGGTCAAACAGTCTCTTTTAAGTAGTTATTTAAGATAAGAGCTGGATGGATTCATGCTGCTCTGAATTCCCTTGATCATTTTGACAGTTTTATTGGTTCCTGAAAAGGGGATGTGTGTCTGTTAAGTGTGTGTGTGTATTATTTGGCTCATTAGGGAGTGAGTGAGTATGATGTGTGTATGTGTGTATATTCGTGTGGGTGTGTGCATAAGTGTGAGGCCTCAACACCTCTGTAAGCACGTCTGTCTTGTGTGAGTGAGAAATGTCGGTAGGTCCTGATTTGTGGGGTTATATATTAATACTATTTATAGTGTTAAATTTATGATTAAACCGGTCTGGATAGTGTGTTTTTAAACGCCGGATCCACTTATTTTCATGGCACTTTAAAATATTTTTAATGTTATCTGCTCTGAACTTTTCTATTCTCTCAATTTGGCATGGGCGGTGAAATTTGGCAAAATAGGCGGAAATGTTGTTCTACAGGTAATAATATTTCATGGGGAGTCGACTTAATTCGATTGCGATAATTATATATATATATATATATATATATATATATATATAAAGTCATCCTCACAGACTGTTTCGCTGTTTCACAGCTCGTCAGTGTGGCTAGACATCCGGTTGGCTCTAGCTAGGATCGAAACCCGACTGAATTGGTGTCAGTCGGAGATTCTACCACTAAGCCATCGGCTTAGAAGATGAAGATGAATTTTAGCGTATTTATTTTTAGATAAACACACACAGTGACCGACAGTGACTCAATTCGCTTTTGCCGAAGAGTCTCGCTATATCAGCCATAATAGTCACTGTTTACAAACCCACACCTCTTCCCCAGAGAGCTCAACTGAAATTAATTTTTCAGAAGCCATACGTGTGCGTGTGTGTGTGTTTCATTAAAGATGACAGACAAGGTACTACGATTATGCTTTCTATTTAATTTTTCTTGCGTTCGAATTCATAAATAATTACATCGGTCACACAACTACATGCCTATCCGGACGACTTACGTTACGCCTATCTGATCATAGCTCCATTAGAACCCATTTAAACACACACACAAACTTACCAGACTCCATCCGAAACATACTAGTAGAAAATACAAACATAATACCCTTAAACATATATAAAAAAAAGATTAAAAATAATGGAAGCCTTAATAATAAAAAAGAAAAAGCCAACACTTAACAATACGAACACGGCTACAATGTGCTAAATGTACAGTATTTACATTAGTCGGACTATTGTCCTCATCTTTGTCGCCATATCTGTCACAACGTTTCGGCCGTTGTACGCTCCGGCCTTCTTCAGGTGGTTGGAATTTCGAACTGAACCCTTTATTTCGATCGCTGGGGTAGACTGTTCTAATTCCACGTGCCATGTTTGATGGATGTCAGTTATCAGTTATCTCCTGCTAATTTTCCCTCTGAAAGTTCTCCACTGCCTTAACCAGGAATTGAACTCACCTTCTTTGGGTCTGTCACTGGATCTAACCAACGCCTTTATCCACTGTGCCATGTGTCCTTGATGTGCTAAATGTGTTTGGAAAATAAAAAATCTCTGTAACACTAAAAACATACATACAACACACACACCCAATTAAAATGAAAAAAATAAAATCATCCTTGATAATGGCTAAAAGTATATCCGAAAGCGCTCGGAATTATAGAACATTAGGTTAGTTTCTACACACTATGTATCCCAAAAAGAAAACACTTGTTCGAACACAAGAAAAATTAAATAAAAACCTTACTCACAGTACTTTGTCTGTCGTCTTTAATGAAACATGTATAAATGAAGGACTGCTGCCTAACTACACATATATATATATATATATATATATATATATATTGTGTAGTTAGGCAGCAGTCCTTATATATATATATATATATATATATATATATATATATATGTGTGTGTGTGTGTGTGTGTGTATTTTTACAATTGAAATTAAAATACCTTTTAGTTAATGACCATTTTCACCTACGAATTTTAAGTCTAAAATTCGCTGGAATTTTTTCAAACTGTTTATGGTATCAGTTTCACTACAAACTGATTTACTCTGTTCAATGAAAATAAACATTGAGCATTTTTTTTGTGAGTCAATTTTAAAACATTTCAAATTCTGTGTTGTGTTAATAGAACTCGCCTAGATTATACCAACGGATTACTGCCTATATATATATATATATATATATATATATATATATATATATATATATATAAGACATGAAAATATAAAAAATAAAATATGTATTAACGCTTTGACTGAGTTTATAAGACGAAACCGATTTTATGCCCACAAGAAAAGGGACAGTAACGTATTCTCATTCTTTGCGAAACCTTATTGAAATTTCATCAATTTCATCAGAATCCATGATTTACTGGAAATCCTTATTTAAGGGATGCATATTTCAATTTCCCGAATAACATGCCTATGGCTTCTTTCTTACACTGTTGGTTTCCTTGACAACTACATCGACGAACTGTATAGGCAAAAATGCATCTTGACACATATAGATGCTGAAATAGATGCGCAAATCTCCCACCATTATCAAATTTAATTAACTTTCGCCAAATATTTGTACATTAAATCGAACTCTAAATATGATATGATATTTGCGAAAGTGTATTTTTTTAAATTATGTTTATTCTGTACAAAGCCCAAGAGCCACTCGAGGTAGAAGATTGCAGAGTAAGAGTTTATGGGGATATATGGGGAAGATAACGGTTAAGATTTAGACAGGTTATGATTTTAGTGATCGGGGAAGCATCCTCTTGGGAGTCGGTTCCACAAAGCAGCGGTTCGTGGGAAGAAGCTCGGTTGGAATTTACATCTCACCAGTAGAATACGACGGGAATGTGGGTGGTTCACTACAATGGGCGTGGCATATTCGGCCTTAGCTGTAAAGTTTATAACTGGTGGAACTATGAGAATGTAGTTCGTCTGAACACTTTCCATGGAAATACCCTAGAGCAGCGAGATGTTTGCGACATTTCGTCAGTGGGAAACGGGTTGTAGGGTGGAAAAATTACACGGGGTCGGGTTGCTTCGGTCTAGCCTCGTCGGGGTTACTCTCCGCCCGAAGACAGAGAGTCGATAAGCAGAGTAACGATTAATCGTTAACTCCCCGGTATTTACTCGAGACCTCCCCAGAAAGCGAGAGGTGGCACAAGGCCAGTTTTCAAAGTGTAGCTTTGCGAGCGCGTACGCTCGGGCAAAATTTCCCCATAGATCCGGCATACAACTGGTCGGGCAACCGTCTACCTCCCCAGACGAGATTTCTCTTCGGCATAGCCTCGCCTGTTCCTCTTCGCCCGAAGGCAGAGAGTCGACAAGAAGAGTAACGATTAATAATTGACTCCTCTCGCTCAGTAAGAGAGAGAGAGAGAGAGAGAGAGAGAGACAGAGACAGAGAGAGAGAGAGAGTGCTGTTTAAACAGTCGTCGACTAGTCTATCTTGTGGTGGTGTTCAGCTACTCCACAACACCTTTCAATAACCCTGTATATGACCGTGCTCAAAATTCCGGCTTGGTCTGGCTCTTGTAAACATAGAGTATGCCAAGAGGAGACATGTACTTACCAGAACGGTACAGGGGACCATTCATTTTTTAAGATACCTTATCACACCCCTGCAGTTTATTTAAAGCTAGGAATATTTTAGATCTTGAGAATTTATGGGAGATAAAAATGATTTACTGATACAAATCGTACGAAATAACCTAAATAACGCTGCCCTCTTGGTAATTCCGACTACTCTGTGGAAGCTATTGATATTTCGTTCCATTCCTTTATTAAATAGGAACTCCCTAACCACAAGGCATCTTTCCGTTACCAGCATGCTGATTGGGACTTATTCCATGATTTTCTCCGTGACGCCCCTTGGACTGACATCTTTAAACTCCTAATTGAAAATTGCACCACTGAGGCTTCTTCCTGGGTCAAAGCCAGCATGGAAGCTTTCATCCCATCTCGGAAATACGAGATGAAACCTCAATCCTCTCCCTGGTTCACACCAGCGTGCTCGGCCGTTATAGCACTCAGGAAACATTATTTTTGTCTATACCAGCTTGACGGGTCACGTCGCAACAGGCACCTATTCGTTTGCTGCTCGCAATAAATGTAAACCAGTCCTCAAAGGAGCGAGTCCCTGTTTTGCAATGAGAAAAAGGCATCGCATAGCTTCTGAGAACTTTAGCACTCGGGATTACTAGCGGCTGTGTAATAGTGCATTAAATAAGTGTAAGGTCTCTAGTCCTCGCTTCTTCAATCAGTAAAACTGAATGCTTTGCCCGTAAATTCTCCTTGACTCATCCGGAATATCCCTGTCGAACATCCCTTGTAGAACTGAATCTGTTGAGTGATATGCATATAATCCCTTCTGCTATCATCTCTAGATCTCCATAAAACATGCGGAACTGATAGTACCCCTGTACTAGGAATTTAGAAGTGTGCTCCCGAAATGGCTCCTGTTCACTGTAAACTGTATAACAAATGCCTCGCCATTTCCTTCTTTCCTGCCTCATCTGAAGTCATCATCTGTTGTTCTAGTTTTTAAGAACTCTGGTGAGCTGTCCGGTCCTTTCAACTATCGACTTATTAGCCTTCTACCTCTTTCAGGGAAAATCTTAGAGGCCCTAATCAATGTTGAATTGGTTCATCATCTCTCATGGCAGGGCCTTTTTTCAGACAAACAATATGGCTTTCGTTTCTCCAGGTCGACTTCTGATCTATTGACAATAATTGTTGACAAAGTCTATCACGCCGTAGAGAAAGATGGCTGACAGCCTTTGACAGTGTCTAGCATTCAGGTCTTCTCCACAAACTGAAAAGTTACTGTGTCTCCGGACATATTTTTGAACTGATCCCGTCTTTCCTTTGAAATCGTGAATTGAAAATTATCCCGAACGTCGACTTATCTAGATCTTTTTTTTTTTTTTTTTTTTTTACTAACGCGGGTACCCCTTCTTGGTCCTACTTTGGTTCTACTTTGGTTTTAATTTTCATTAATGACCTTCCTGGTGACATCAGCTGCCAACTTGGTATCTACACTGAGGATCCAACAATTTACTCCTGCCTCGATAGTAAGGCTTATCAGTCCGACAAGGTCAAAATGGCATCCGATGTTCAAAACCACCTGAAGTCCATCGTTACTTGGCGCAAATTATGGCTTGCTAACGCCTTTAAAACTAAATTTCTCTCTATTAATCATCTGAGAGATGCTTTGCTGACTTCTATCAGCATATGGCTGATGCTATCCTCCAAGTGACTCGTTGCAACTCCTCAGGTTCCCATTCTCAGCTGACATGAAGTTGAAAGACTATATTGAATTCATTGCTAGGTCAGCTGCCAAGAAAGTAGGTTCACTCAATCATTTCTCTTCCATATCTATAAGTCTACCATTCGTGCATGTTTAGAATATTGCTGCCACATATGGACCGGTGCCCCTGCTATTTAACTGAAGCTCATTGATAAGATCCAAAGAAGAATCTGCAATATTACTGGTCCTAATCTGGCAGCTCGGCTTCAATCACTTTCCTACTGCCATAAGGTTGCCTCTATGTTTTTTCTATAAACACTTTCATGGTAATAGTTCAAATGAGTACACATTAGGGTTAGTTTTTAAATTGTTGTTTTAGTCCCACCCACGAACAATAAATTGTATACATGGGGACTTCATAGGAATTCATAGAATTTCTGAGGCATTATACTGGATAAAGTAAGAATGGTAAGTAAGAATCCGTTGTTTTGGTGTAAGGAATATTCTTGTATGTGTTTTTGGCTAGCTAAGTTTAACGTCAGACAGAAGAAGACCATTCTTTTCCCCATTCCCTATATTGGCCTTGTGCCATGATTTAACATAATTCAGAATAAATATCGTTCTTCGCTATGGTACCTAAAGTTTTTGAATTTAAGCGCAGTATTAGACTGGTGTCGAGATCAATTTAAAATTCAGCTGGCTCGATTTCATCGTATGCTATGCATAAATTCGATGCTAATTTTCTTTTCTCGCACTTCTCGTTTGCGGAACTCCGTACCGGCTCCAATGCTTTCCAGCCAACTTTAATCCGCAAAAATTTAAATGCAATGTCAATCGCTATCTATTGTCCTCCTGATTACTCTCTTCTCTTTTTGCTCATCATTAATGTTTCTGTTCTTAATTCTTCCACACCTTGTAACCCCTTTGTGTTTTAGTGGCATTACTGCCTTGCTTGGGGTGACACCGATAAAAAAAAAAAAAAAAAGTGATGTCTTCGCCTAGACACATAGGTTTCATTTGCTCAAATCTATGACATTTCAAAATATAGTGTCTCTGATGTGAATCGGATGGAATAAAAAAATAATAATAAAATAACACTAATAACAAGTAAAGAAAAATTAAAGACGCCAAGTTGTCATATATTGCAGAAGATCGATTATACAAATTGATATGTTGATTTGCGCATTAGCAATGTCTTTCTTCATATTTTATATTTAAAATGAAAGGAAATAAATTAGGAGCATCAATTATCCTCATGCAATTAATTAAGAGCAATTAATTATTGCGTGCGCCTCTTTCTATCGGGATATTAAATTTTCAGACTCGGTTTTCATGTTGAAACGTTACATTCTCTATCACACCAATTATTGGCATTTTGCTTGGGACAAATGGATTACTGGTTGAAGGCAATAAGCGCGTTGGTGTAGTGAATTGAGGCAGAGTTTTTTGCTATCGGACTTGGACATATCTTAGCAATGTGTGCACCTGGTTGGGTTGGTTGTATAACTTAAGTTGATTTGGAAATTGTTTTTCTTTCCGTTGGCCGGCCTGGTTCTGCTTTCAGTCTATTCACTATCTCCCACTCTATCTATCTATCTATCTATCTATCTATCTATCTATCTATCTATCTATCTATCTATCTATTCGTATCTAACTCAGTCAATAATTATCTATCTATCTATCTATCTATCTATCTATCTATCTATCTATCTATCTATTCGTATCTAACTCAGTCAATATCTATCTATCTATCTATTCGTATCTAACTCAGTCAATACTTATCTATCTATCTATCTATCTATCTATCTATCTATCTATCTATCTATTCGTGTCTAACTCAGTCAATACTTATCTATCTATCTATCTATCTATCTATCTATCTATCTATCTATCTATCTGTGTCTAACTCAGTCAATATCTATCTATCTATCTATCTATCTATCTATCTATCTATCTATCTATCTATCTATCTATTCGTATCTAACTCAGTCAATATCTATCTATCTATCTATCTATCTATTCGTATCTAAGTCAATATCTATCTATCTATTCGTATCTAACTCAGTCAATACTTATCTATCTATCTATCTATCTATTCGTATCTAACTCAGTCAATACTTATCTATCTATCTATCTATTCGTATCTAACTCAGTCAATACTTATCTATCTATCTGTCTATTCGTATCTAACTCAGTCAATACTTATCTATCTATCTATCTATCTATCTATCTATCTATCTATCTATCTATCTATCTATTCGTGTCTAACTCAGTCAATATCTATCTATCTATCTATCTATCTATCTATCTATCTATCTATCTTAGTCTCTTCATTATCTATCGATCTCTGTTAATATCTATTGTTTCTCTCTCTCTTTCTTTCTTTCTATTTGTGTCTCTATTAATCTAATTTAATTTTTTTTCTTTCTTTCTAGCTAGCAAGCTGTCTTCTATTTAGGCACCTCCACTAAATTTTCGATACCTAAGGTTTAAAATGAATTTACAAAAATGAAAACGCTTTCATTTAAACTTTAATTCAAAGCTAAATAATTAAATTTACTATTTTCAATAAGGAAAATACTCTGGTGTATTTCAAATTGAAATTATATTGATTGGAATCTCAACTTTTATGCCGCTTTCAGAAAATCGGCCATTTTTGACAAATTTTGTCACATTTGTCAGCAAAAGTTATTTCTCGGTTTAAAAATCTTCCAAAAATAAAATATACTTTTTCTGAAACTTTATTTTAAGAATATTTGCTGATTTAATGCATAAGTAATCTGATTTGAAAAAAAAAAATTACAGAAATGGATTCTTAAAACAAATGGTAGCGGTGATTACTTGCTTATCACCGTCGCTTGTCACTCGTAGATGACTTAACAAATAAAATTTGTCGACATCTTTATTGTAGTTCTACGGAGACTTTATCTGTTAAAACATAATTTAAGAAAATAACGGGTGCTTTTTTTTATATAATTTTTAAGTACACAGTAAATGTTGGAAAATATTCGCTGTAATCTAATTTTAGGAATGTTGACTTTAAATTTACTATAAGTCATCGCCCTTATTTTCTGATTATGTTGTGTATGCTCGACCATACTTTCAAAGAGGATTAAGTTACGTAATATTTTATTTACATAAAAAATTAAATTTAAAAAAAAATATTTTATTGAGATTTTCAGTCTTTGATTCGTAAAAATTGATTTCACTTAATATTACCTAACCAGATTGAAATAATGCAGAATTTTAAAAGATTTATAATATAAATTATTATAATTAAAATTTTAAAAAATGAATGTAATTCCTGTAAAAGATAATTATTCATCAATTTTTATTTCTGAAGACAATAGTGTTTTTAATAAATCTTATTTATTAAAGCAATTAAAAGATTTTCTAATGATGCCATAGTTTTATTGCATTTTTTATTTTTAAGATTCGGAGCAGATTTTCGGGAAATGCGTAGTAGTTTGAAAAAAATGATTTACATTCTCCAAGGAGTCCTGCTTTTGACTAACAAAACGAATTTAAGTAAGCCCTCACACCCAACACCACTTTAATTCGGAAATTAAATCTTAACAGAGTAACATATGTAAAAAAAATATTTTTTTTACCAAGATTTTCTAAAGTAAATTTAAAATGAATTTCATTTATTTGCGATTAAATCCTGAAAGTTTCCTTAAAACCCGACAATTATTTGCTTTTTGCAAGAATTTCCAAATCAATGTTTTTCATTTGAAAAAAAAAAAGGAGCAATCGTAAATATTACGTCGACCACTGACGTAAAAAAAAAAGATTTTAACCAAAATTTCGCACGTACTAGAAAGGATTAAAAAAATAATTAAAAAATACTTTGGTCTTTCCTCTTAATAGTAACATAAACATTTTGACAATTTAAAAAAAAAAAATATGTTTGGTATCTATCTATCTATCTATCTATCTATCTATCTATCGTAAGCTTCATCCTCACTGAGTGTCCAATCCAAATCCGATATCCGAAATTTGACAAAAAATATCCCGTGTGAAAATGGCGAATTTAACTATTGCCATTAAACAACTAATTATTTCAATTTGCGTATACTGAAAAAAAAGGGTACCAAACTGACCACTCGTTATACGTGAGCTTAAGGAGGAGGAAGATTCTGAAATCAAAACTGTCGAGAAAGCACTCCCCTATCTTTCTCAAAAATATTGGCAATTCACAGATAATAAAGAAAATGAAACTGTGGCGAACCCTGATCGCCCACATCTTGAAGGAATGAAGTATTAAAAAGGAATAGAAGAAAATGTGTTTTAATTATTTGAACCAGAAAGAGAGAGAAAGAAAGAAATACATACAGAAGTAGAGAAAGAAGGGAGAAAAGAGAAAGACGTAGAGAAAGAAGATAAGAGAGAGAAAAGGCGAAAAGAAGGGAATCGAGGTGAAAGCGATGTACGTTTTTTTTTTTTTTTTAAAATTTTATGCCCCTAATAGTCAATGTGTTTGTTGTGTTGCATAAAATTAAAAAAGATATAAAATTATTCACTTCTTTGTAAATTCTACCAAATGACAAATATACAATTTTATTTTCAGAAGTTACAAAAGAAGAATCCCTTTGTTTTACTAACAAGAGACAAAATCACACCCCTTATATACTGGACGTATAAGAAGACACCCAAATGTTCAAGATAAAATGTAGTTTTCGGGCTATATTCTTCTTTACGAGGCGACCCCTCAAATTATATTCGAAAACGTATTTTATTGAAATCATTAAATAGATTCAGTAAGAATATATTTTCTTTTCACTCAATCTAATGAAAAAACTGTGGGAGATATTGTCAGTACCACAAGCTTTAGTTATATTGTCAGTTAAGTACCACAAGCTTTAGCATACTTCATGTATAGGTGCTGTTTTTTAGGTAGGCTATTATGGTAACCTGAATGACTTTTCCTTACTAACAATCGACTTTTGTCGACTGCAATCTTTAAACGGCCTGTTGAGACACACATTCAGTTGTGTTTTTGTTCAACATCATCGACAAAAAGAGGCAAGATATTGTTAATTAATTACCACAATCTACACTTACCGTTAGCCGTACCATAATTATGTGAATTGTTTCAGTAGAAAATATTTGCGTCTATAGTTATCAAGATATGTGTTATAAAATATCTTCCATGCTAACAACTTACCACTTTATGGTTCATACTTTATACTGGAGGTATAATTAATACGGCTCCTTACTTTGGGGTGGTATTTTTAAGGTTAAAAAGTTACCTTGTACGTCAACATATGCGATGCTTGTGGCATTACATTAGGAACAGTCAGAAAATTAATGATATATTAATTACATCTAAAGGGAGGTAATACAAAGCTAAAAATGGATGAATTACTTCCCTTTGAAAATATGCGGTCTGTTTATTTTTTGTGATTTAACACATATAGAAAGCACCATTTTTGTTTTAAGATTAAACACAACGTCTGACAAAATCACTGATGCAGCTTCACACCAAAATTAGAGAGAAAATGTGTCAATACATGACAATATAATATCGTAAAAATTTTTATCAATAATAGTGGAATTTTATGAATAAAGAATGTAATGGTCTTGTGATTGCAGAATTAATGCTATAAAAACATATTTATTAAAATGAGAGAAAAATGGACATGGAAAAATATTACAGTCATTATAAATGACAATTCGAAAAAGAAAATATAAGGCGGGGAAAAATGCTTGTCAGTTCTCGTTCATCTGTGGAGATAGAGAAATAGATCAAGAAAAAAATAACAAGACCTTTTCTAAAAATAGTTGTATACTTAAAATCGACAGGTAGCAAATGCCTTCTAAGCCCTAAGCAAAGTATTAAGAAATAGGGACATTTCGTTAGAAACAAAGAAAAGAGTACTGAAAGATCAGTCCTTCAGTATAGCAGTGAATGACCACAGCCACCTCACAAATAAAGAAGAGACTTGTAAAAATAGAAATGTACTTCTAAAGAAGGATGCTGGGAATACGACCAACCAATCAGAAAGCTTTTCAAAATAAATAATTTTTAAATATTAACAAGGAGACCAAAATTTCACCTTCTCTAAAAATACACAATTATGATATAAAGCCGTGAGTTAATTAGAATCAGAGCCCTCTTTAATAAGTGAATCTATAGATGTGTATATAAATAGATGAAAAAGAAACGATAAAACAAAGCCGTTAAATTAATTTTGTTCCTTCTCCGACGCTGTGGTCATCATAACATATCCAGAGACAAAAGACATTTGTTCGACTACCTGACGATATTAGTAATGGATTCATACCTTTCCCAAGTGTATTTGCGGTTAAGCGAATATAACGAATCTGACTGAAATTAGAACTGGACTTTCCGATTCATTACACCTGTGGAACCCTCAACTGTAAAAAATCAATGTAATGTCACTAAGAACCTCGATTGACACATAGTTGTACAAAAACTAAGCTCCAGTTTTGAATTTCCATATTCACATTTATTAACCAATCAGCTCTTAAAGCTTAAAAGCTTTAAGAGCTGATTGGTTAATAAATGTGAATATGGAAATTTCAGACGACCATGTTTGTTGTCTGCTACGAAATTTGAGAGCTCACACCAAAGAATGATCAACAATATTTTCCCTCTTAAAAATAGACATTTAAAAATTATGAAAAAAAATATATTAACCAATAAATCTGCATTTAGTAAATCTATTTTTTAACTGCCTTGATCCTAAAATCTAAATGGTGTACCCGAGGATGCAAATCTACTAGGGCGACTATCTAATCCCTGTTGCAGTCGCCCACTCAGACACATTTGTGTTTGTTCAATACCCACAGACCCCACCTGTGGTTAATACTGCAACTATGCTGAGCGGAACTTAGTTACAGTTTCTGGGAGAATGCGTTATCTACCGTGATCAGCAGTCTTAATGAGGCCAGCACACTCAAACCCTCGGCCACGATGGCTTGTGACTTCGTGCTAGCACAACCATCGACTGCTCCTAAATGGTTCCGTCAACCCAATTTCACTCACAAAGCTTGGGTCAGACATTTCCCAAAGATGTCCTCCTCCAAATCGAGGACCTCAAGAAGTTACCTTCCTGACAAATCATGATTAGAAAGAAAACATTCTAACCACTAGGCCATGTGCCCTTGATCAATTTATTTTTCTAAAAATACAATCGCGCAAATTCAAAAGTTATTATTCAGTTTTTAATAAACCTTAAACCCGGGTTGTGCCAAAACTGTTCCATCACACTTTTCGTATATCCAATTACTAAACCTTTCATATATTTTATGGAGTAAATTCTTGCAAAAACCTTGCGATTCTAAAGTAAAGTAAGCAACACGCTGAACATACGAACAGAGTTTGTCTATATTTCTGAAATGAGGTATTATGTACAGTATTTACATTAGTCGGACTATTGTCCTCATCTTTGTCGCCATATTTGTCAGAACGTTTCGGCCATTGTACGCTCCGGTCTTCTTCAGGATAAAGGCGTTGGTTAGATCCAGTGACAGACCCAAAGAAGGTGAGTTCAATACCTGGCTAAGGCAGTGGAGAACTTTCAGAGGGAAAATTAGCAGGAGATAACTGATAACTGACATCCATCAAACATGGCACGTGGAACTAGAACAGTCTACCCCAGTGATCGAAATAAAGGGTTCAGTTCGAAATTCCAACCACCTGAAGAAGGCCGGAGTGACAAATATGGCGACAAAGATGAGGACAATAGTCCGACTAGTGTAAATACTGTACGAACAGAGTTATAAAAAAAATAGCCGTAGTAATAGTACAGCTCTCCGACTGCTACCTACTGGAAAAATTAAACGCCTTCATAAAACAACGCAAATACGCGACTGTCTCGTTAAATAGATAGTTTCTGTTTCTACAAACGCAAATATTTCTGCTGTGTTGCAAAAAAAAAAACAAAATATTCTTGTGCGGCATTGTTTTGCGGTAATCTTTGTAATTTCGTTTCTTTCAACTTGAAAGAAAACAAATACTCTGTGATAAAATGTATTTAAAATTTGTTCGCTTTCCGCACGCATTTTCCTCTACACACCACTCACACATCCAAGCTTACAGCACCTGGTTATTCCTAAGTGGTCACCCATCTAAGTAGGGACCAGGTTCGACGTTGCTTAAATTCAGTGATCGTATGAGAACTGCTGTTTCAACAGTAAGCCCTTGTCGCTACTTAGCTGACTTACATACACTGCACAACTGCTGAAACTATGATAACAACAACAAAGATGAAGTCAATATATCAGTCAGTTATATGCCATATGTGATACACGCTTAAGCGATCATGTATCTTTCGATATATGATTAACGAGGTAGATTTTTTCCCGCGGTAGGTCGCCTTTTCTTTTTGCAGCAGACCAGTTGCCATCCAAGGTTATAGAACCCGGTCTGCCTTGTTATTTACCCATACCTGGGAGGAGAAGAAGAGTATTAGAACGTAAGTTCGACTGGAATTCGAACTCAGCTCTCCGATTCCTCAATCCGAGCCACTATCCATTACCTCACCGTGCCAGTCCGTATGTAAATGAAAATAATGATCATCATCCTAGAAATTGAGACAAAAAATTATTTTGTCGAGTTCATTAACTTCGTTTGTGAAGACAATTCTGTAATTTCTTGGAATAAAAAAATCAGGAAATTGCGACGTATATATTCTTTATTCTTCATTCAATTTACTTCACCATTAATAAAACTGATTTATACTTTTAGGGAAGATCTATATATAGGAGCAATGGATGCAGACCTGTCGCCAGTGTTTTGAGAGGTGTGTGTCGGCTGCCAATGAAATCCTGAGTAAAAGAGTTTTACGAGTATACAGTTATATTTGAATTGTAACACCCAGCCTTGGTACAACAGTGGCAGACGCCCTGATTGGGAATAGTCATAAATAAAAAGGAACAATTCACTTTTTCATGATTTATCAATAATTTTTTTTTCTTTTTC